AAGCTTTTAAGATCCCAGTCGCTATTCGCCAATGTAGGAGGTGGAACAATGTTTTGTGTAGTATGTTATGCCAATTGAGCTTGATGTCCCTTGTGACTATGGTCCCAAGCCCAAAGGTTCAGATTTTGTTAAAGATTTTTGCATCTGTTTTCATGAAGGATATTGGTCTGTAGTTTTCCTTTTTAGTGATGTCTTTGCCTAGTTTTGGTGAAACCTTCATCACTTTTGGTAATGACTGAAGGGTGGTGTTTGTGCCTGTCATCTTCTCAGGACATGGTTATTGGACGGATGAGGTCACATTTATTTTACTTACTAAGGAAATTAAAGAGAGAATAAGGGCCAAATTCAGGAGATCATACTGGATTGAACCACAGGTTCCCCACTTCTTGTTCCAACATGGGGCAAGTTATTTAACATTTAGCATGTCTGTGTTTCCTCAGCTGTAAAGTAAGAACAGTAATAATACATGTGAGCACTGGTGGCTTAGTGCCTAAGCCATGTGGATGTGGGTTTGAACCACCACACACTACTCAAAAGGAAGATGGGGCAATCTGCTTCCATAGTGATACTGCCTTGGAAACCCAAGGGAGGGGTCGCTATGAGTTTGATTTGACTCCATGGCACCCTACTTCATATGTTTATCTTGAAGATTAAATGAGATAACTGTATACTAAGTGTTCAACATAGTATCTGCCCAAGAAACATTTAATAAACCCTGCCATTTTTATTAGCAGTATTATTCACTACTTCTTTACTTTGCTGGTTTGTGTTCTGTGTGAACATCCACTGTATAAATAGAATAAGCTACATTAGGAATCTCTAGTTACAGTTGATAGCACTCACAGACAAGATTGATACAATCACTTTAGTCCAAAATGTAGCTTGAGTAGTACCCTCAGAGTAATATACTTTTTCTACAGAAGAACATTTCTATTAACATTTTATTTAAAAAAGTAATAAAAAGAAACATGTTGTTCTGTAAGTTGTCATAACCCTGCCTGATTTCCTTTGGATGCTAGACATGATCTGTGGCTGTGAAGGTTTATGACTTTCTTTAACTTAAGCTTCTTTTTATTTCAGGGTCTTTACATATCCTTGTGTATCAGCATTTCTTGATAAATATGAAGTAAGTTTTGATAAATATGAAGTAACTTTTCAATGTATACTTTTCTTTAAAAGAAAGTTGAGTGATTTTGATTGTAAGGGTCTAGTAAACTAAGGGCTATATGTTGATATGTTGTTGTTGTTGTTATGTGCCTTTGAGTCAGACCCGAGTCATAGCAACCCCTCCTTGGGTTTGTGAGGCAGTATCACTATGGAAGTAGATTGCCCCATCTTCCTTCTGAGAAGTGGCTGGTGGCTTTGAACTACTAGCCTTCTGGTTAGCAGTCAAGTCCCTAGGCACTGCGCTACCAGAGCTCCTATATGTTGATAAGACATTAAAAGTAGTCACCAGGAGATTAGAGACACAGCTGGTATAGTCCTGTCTCAGGGACACTAAGAGATGTTACATGAAGCAGAGTGCAGCACAGGCTGATTTTACAATGGAAAGTGTTTACTTTCCCAGATGTCCTTCTGTCTCATTAATCAAGCCTTTGTGGAGTTATCATGCCTGAACATAAGCAAACTGGTGGTCAGCCCCTGTGATCACCTGGAATAGTTGTAATTTTTTGGGCTAGCTAATTGCTCTGTAAATTCCTAACCCAGCATTTCCTTTGATTGTTTCCAAACTGATATAAATGTTATACTTGGCCACTCTTCATCTTCCCTCACCTTCCAGTTATTAAGTAGACAAAACAATACAGCCATGAATATAGCATGTTCATATTGTCTGTCATCATTTTGAAAGTGTACTATATGACTAGTTTTGTACGTTTATTTTACTAGTTGCAAATACCATCTGATGAGAAGCTTGAGGAATTTTGGATTGATTTCAACCTGGGCAGCCAGACTCTGTCCTTCTACGTTGCTGCAAATAACAAGGTAAGCTTCTTCCTCCCTCCACGGTGTTGGCACGTACATGGAGGTACACGCCATTTTCAGTTCACTTTCAGACTGTACATTTCTCTGTGTATTTATTTTTTATACCTGCTATTTTAATAGATTTCAATGTTAACTAGTAGTTTTGATTAACATGGTAAGCTCCTTAAAAATGTGAATAATGTTCTAATGTTTAATTATAACAGAAAAATTAATACTAAATTAATAATAAATTTTAATACTAATCTTTTTAACATTTAAGCTTTCAGAAATGAATTACTTCTTAAAAACAAATGCAGGTTTACATTAAAAAAGACACTCTGTATAGAGACACTCAATTAAAAATAACATAACACATAATTACTAGTGGTTTTAACTTGTTCATTCATAAAATCACAAGTAGCAAGGGCTTGGTTCTTCCAGGAATGTTTGGAAGTGAACTTTCCTTCCTTGCTATCTCATGCTATATTATAGGTCACGCTTAAGCCTCCCTGTTTTCTCCTGACCACTTTGAACCTGAGGAAAGTCCTGGGGGCATTTTGTCTCCTGATAGCAACCCCTGGTACAATGGCTTCTTCCAGCACAGGGGCGGGCAGTTTGCCCAAGTCTGAGAAAGAGTTGATCACTTTTGCTGATCTGATGGTGGCTGGTTAAGGAGCCTTTGGACTCTTTAGTCCCTCTCCGGAATCCTGCTGTTAGTTTCAGGGAAGCTCTTTATTGATGAATGCTAGCCAGATGCCTCTCAAAGTTCCCAAATATCTTTTTCCTTCTCATTTTAGAGTAACTTTTAAAAATGCCTAGGGGCTCTGGTGGAGCAATGGTTAAAGCCTTTGGCTGCTAATTTAAAGGTTGGTGGTGCAGACCCACTAGAAGGTCTGTGGAAAATGAGACAGTCAGCTTCTGCCACAAAGATGACAGCCTTGGAAACCCTGTAGGGTAGTGCTGCTCTGTTCTGTAGGGTCACAGTGAATCAGAATGGACTGGATTGCAGTGTTTTTTTTTTTTTTTTTTTGGTGGTTTCTTAGAATGGTTGGTTAAAATCTAGTTCCAATGACACATACTACTTCTCGGGGTTAATGACAGTTTTCATTAGTGTATGTACTCCTGCAGGAGCTCTGGTAGCATAGTGCCTAAGGCACTTGACTGCTCACCAGAAGGCTGGCAGTTCAAACCCACCAGCCACTCCTCGGAAGGAAGGTTGGCAATCCTACTTGCGTAGTGATACTGCCTCAGAAACCCAAGGAGGGGTCGCTATGAGTCAGGGCTGACTCGACGGCAAACAACAACAACAACATGTACACCTGCAGGGTTTGTAGGAGTATTTTTAGCTGGGGTTTCTTTTGGGAGCTACATTTGTATTTGGGGGGAAGAGGATAGACAGGATTGATGTGGTCCTTGCCTTCACCCAGCTTGGAATGCATGATTCAGACAAGAAAATAAGCATTCGAGCTAGTGTCATCTGTGATAAGGAACATATAAAATGCAGTTGTTGTTGTTGTTGTTGTTGTTTGCCGTCGAGTCATAAAATGCAATTAGAAGTATTAAATGACCAATGCATCTTGGGCACTGATCTAGATCCCAGGTGCCTCTTCTTTCCAAGAATATGTCCTTTGTCCTGTGGACTCACAGGAACTCTGGTGAGTGTAGTCGTTAAGGTATTTGGCTGCTAATCACAGCATCGGTTGTTCAAACCCATCAGCTGCTCCACAGAGAGGTTAGGCAGTCTGCTTCTGGAAAGAGGTGAAGTCTTAGAAACCCAGTGGGGGTTTCCATGATTCAGTCACCTCAGTGGCAGTAAGTTTGGTGGTTTTGGTTTGAGTGTGCTCTGTCTGTGTCCCTCCTGCTCTCCCTAGAAGCCATTCTCTACGTAAGTGGTCACCATGAGTTGACTCTGATTCATGGTGTTCTGCTGTGGGTCAGAGCAGAGCTGGGCTCCGTAGGCTTTTCAGGGGCTGGTTGTTCTGAAGCAGATCACCAGGACTTTCTTCCAAGGTGCTCCTGGGTGGACTCAAACCTCTAGCCTTTTGGAGTGCCTGCTTAAAACCCTTCTTTTGTCTCTTTACCATAGCATAAACCAAAACCAAACCCACTGCTGTCAAGTTGATTTCTGACTCATAGAGACGCAGTAGAGCAGAGTAGAACTGCTCCATGGGGTTTCCAAGGCTGGCATCTTTACAGAAGCAGCCTGCCACATCTTTACTCTGCAGAGCAGCTGTTGGGTTCAAACCACTGACCTGACACCTAGGACCTAACCACCGAGTCACCAGGGCTCTTGAATACGCCATATGAGGCTCTCTCTGGACATGCTGGCCCCTAGCTATTACTCTGACATCTTGCATCATTCCCATGGCTCCCTGCTAGCCATGTTCAGTTCTCTTCCTGTACCTCTAATCCATCTCAGGTTTTCCATTTTGCTGGTTCTACTGCGTGGAACACATCTTCCAAATCTTTGCATCTTAGTTCCTTCCCCTTTAATTCTCAGCGCAAATGTCACCTGCTTTTAGAGACGCTCTCTTGTCACTCAATCTAAAGTACCCTCCTAGCCACATTGTATTACACAGTCCTTTTTTATTGCCTTTATAGTAATTTTTATTATTCAAAGCATGTTTATTTGTTGTCATTTTCTCCGCCCACCCCCCACTCCCCAAGAATGTTATATCAATGACTTATCTGGTAATAGCTTTTAAGAACTGGTAATTCTTGCAAGAATGAAAGAATGACATATTCAAAGAACTGAAAAATCCATTGTATCTTTACATAGTGTGGGTACAAAGAGCTCAGAGGTTGTTGGTAGGAAACAAGGCAGTATGGACCAGAGGCAGGACTTGAAGTTGGGGCTTATGTCAATCCAGCAGGTATTTATTATTAACTTTCTCTGTGCCAGGTGTTACTCTAGGTGCTGGAGGTGCAGTGATCACATACACATACAAGATTCTCGTGAGCGTCATGGGGAGAGTAGATTGAAAGGAACGAGACCATAAGGAGTTAAGAGGCCTTTATAAATATACCCATGACCATATGTAGGTTTGTAGGTACACAAATTTATGTGCTATAAGAATGTCCCTATATATAATGGAGCCAACGAAGGACAAAGTTATGATAACTTCTTAGTCACAACCAAACACTTTGGAGGGCATTGAGTCACTGGGCCCACAGGCTCAGGACCATGGTCATTGGACACGTCAAGCTCAACTGGCATGACATGGATGCTGGTGGGGGGAGGCTTTTGTAATAATCCAGGTGAGAAATCATGATGGCATAGTTTCTGGAAGTGATTGTGGAGATAGGTGAACATGAATGAAGTTCAGACAAACAAGAGAAAGTGATAGGTTTTAGCAAAAAAGAGGAAGGATTCATAATTTGAGTAGCTAGGTGGATGGAGATGTTGGTTACAGAAGGGTAAATTTAGTAAAGGAAAGATTATGAGTTCAGCTTTGAATGTATGGATTAGAGATGCCTGTGGGACATTCAGCTGAAGGTATGTGGTAGGCAGTTGGATAAGTTGTTCTGAGGTTCTGGTGAGAGAACTGAGCCACATGGATGTTTTATCATCTGTATGATGTTGTTGTTACATGCCATCGAGTCTGTATAGAGATAAGTAAAACCATGGGATTTAATGAATCTGCAGAGAGTAGATGGAAAAGATGAAGAAAAGATGGAAAAGACACTTGAAGAATCAGCCCCCTCAAAAAGGGGGGGGGACCAGGTTTGCTGGCCCAATAGAGCCTGGTGGAACCACTGAGACTATGGCCCCTAGCTGCCCTTCAGGTCTGGAATTGAATCCATACCTGTGGTTTCCAGCCAAACAAAAGACAGACATATGATTTGAACGTTTACCTGAGGTAGATACACTCTTTGGAGAGAACAATCATGGGAGAAAGAAAGGCTGCTTATGCACCGGGAGACAGCTAGGGGGCAGGAGTTCATGGAGGGATGGATACTGGGAAGAGGTAACTATGGGGAGGAAGTAGGAGGGGGGGAGCTGTTGCATTGTGGGAAATTGCTCAATGTCACGAGACAAAGTGTATGTGAACTGCTGTGTGGAAAGTGAAGTTGCTCTGTAAATCTTCACCCAAATCACAATAAAAAAAAAAAAAAAAATCAACCCAAAGGAAACAAATCGAAAGTGTATTATTTTTATAAGAGGAAGTAGTCAGTGCTGTCAATACGCTTGGGGTTATATAAAATAAAAACTGCTGGCCTGTGAAAGTTGAAGCATTCCTGGAAGGTTGAATTCTTGTTGAGGAAATAAAGACATCATGTTAAGGGGAAGAACACTTTAGTAGTTAGAGGAGGGTTCTTTGTTAGGTACTTTCTGTTGTAAAGCTAAGAGCATTTTAAAATTGGTAGTGAGGTGCCATGAGAGAGAGAGAGTGTGTGGAAACAAAATGAAGGCCAAGAAGAAAAGAGTGCGTTGGAAGAGGGGGTGTGGGGGCAGCTGAAACAAGGTGGCTGCCGTGTACTAGTCACTGTTGAAGCTGCATGCGGGCACATTCTGGGTTCATTGCACCGTGATTTCCATTTTTAAAAAATGTGGTTGAGAATTTCCATAATACAATTTTTTTTTTTTTTTTGGAAAAGGCAGTGAGTCAAGCATTAGAATCTTCAGTATATGAGAAAGAGTCACTTTGAAGTTGATAGAGGACAACAACCAGTGGTTATAGAATATGCCAGATGCCATGGGCCTGAAAGGAGCAAGTTTCTTAGACACAAATAAAGATAGGAGAGTGCTGAAAGCTTTGGGGGAGAGAAGAGAATACAAAACGTGGCCTCTTGATCCTGAGGTTTTGAGGTTTGGGGGAATCTGCACCGAAAGGGTTGGGAAGGTGCCCTAGGGGTTTAAACTAGTAACAATGGAGGGAGTTGGTGAGGAGAGGGAGGGTGTGGTAGTTAAGGTTGTGTGTCAGCTTGGCTTGGCCATGATTCTGAGTGGCTTGGCAGCTGAATGCACTTACCTCTCCACGATGAAATTGTAATCACCTCCACGGTGAATTTGCTATGAAACGGTAATCACTGGAAAGAACTGCCTTTGGAGTATGGCCTGCTTCCAGTATATATGGAAGAACCTGGGAGAGGTCTCTAGCTTTTGGCAAGTTTAGATCCTGCCTTTGGCTGAGTCTTCATCCAGTGGCCTGCTGTGTTACCTGCTGAACTTGGAATTGTGCCATTTTACCTGCCAACTTGGGGTTAGTCAGTGTTAGCAGCCAGAAGCTGCCTGAGTTAGGAGACATATCCCGCTCCAGTGGGTGTGGAAGAAGAGCCAGAGCTGAAGCCCAAGGGTGAGGGGCCTTCACCCAGCCCCTAGAGCTGGCACTCTGAATTTGGACTTCCAGCCTCCTAAACTGTAAGAGAATCAATTCCTGTTTGTTGAATCCACCCATTTGTGGTATTTCTGTTATAGCAGCACTAGAGAACCAGTACAGAGGGTTCTGAGGATTTCTACAGAGTAAGCAAAAAAAAAAAACCTGTTGCTGTCGAGTTGATTGAGTCATACAGAGTAGAACTATCCTTTGTGAGTTCCATGGCTGTAAATCTGTACAGAACCCATCTGACTCATCTTTCTCCACGGAGTAGCTGATGTGGGTTCCAACTGTAGACCTTTTGGGTAGCAGCCCACTGCCCTAACCACTACTACACCACCAGAGCCCCTTCTCTAGGGAGTAAGTTGTCCTTAAAGAACAGAGGGTTGAATCTGTTTTGCTCACAAGTTTATTGGGAAGTATTCAGGTCCCATCTTTTAGGAATGCTGTCTAATTTTTACTAATACTTTTTATGAATTCATTATAATTTTATTGTTATAGAAATTTTCAATGGAAGTACTTAGAAGAGAAAAACATTTTAGGTTATTTTTCATGTGCATCCAATGATTGAATCTAAGGACAATCAGTTAACAAGTATTGTTGTTACAGGCCTTAGGAATTTTACTGGGAATTGAGGAATGAATATCACTTCACAAAACATTTCAAAGGAAGAAATGACGGGGTTGTAATTTTTTTAAAAGGGTATCCTCTAGTAAAAATCAGCGCATGGGCATTCTTGTTCTGGTTAAGAAAAGAAAATTCTAAAATAGATCCACATCATCATTTCCTGTAAAAGGTAATGGTAGATTAAATGTGATACAGACAGTATGTCATGTCACCAGTTGATGTGCTGACTTTCATAATGAGGAACATAATACATCCACTGGTATTAATAATACTTAAGAAAAATAACCTTTGTAATCTGTATAACCTAAAGCCTGGTGTTTAATGAAACTTTATGTCAGAAATGTATCATTATCTGTTTATCTACATATTTATTGTCAAACCTGTTTTTAAATTTAAGGATCGTCAGTGGGAAATAGTTACTGTGCCTGAAGAAACAGTGCAGTTATACAGCATCGAAGGTACCAGACTTTTTTCTGTGATTCACGTTTAGTAGAAGTTGTGTGGTCTCAAGGAAGACCAAATCGAGGGATGGAAACAAAGTCACCATTTTTCTTTGTTCACACTCCTAACTGTGCTAGTTTGATATGAAGCCCCTGACCCCAGTGTTCACCTCCCTCCTGTACCTAATTCTACAAGCTGTCACTCATCTGTTTTCCCTCACTGTGGGCAAGTTTGCATTTTCTGAGATTATATAAATGGAGTCATACAGTAGAGAGCAGCTTGTATCTGGCTACCGTCTTTCAGTATATGTATGTGTGTAAGTGTGTATATGTGTGTGCTTGTGTATATTAGATTCAGCATGTTGTATATATCAATAGCTTATTCCTGTTTATTCCTTTTATTGCTTAGTGGAATTCCATTGTGTGGATATACTTCAATTTGTCCATTCACCTATTGATAATATTTAGAATATTGCCAGGTGGTTTTGTTTGTTTGTTTGTATTAAAAAAAAAAAAGCTGCTGTGAGTATCTGTGTGGATGTATGTTTTTATTTCACTTAGGTAAATAAAAATGCAATGGATGTGGTATCATATCATGGGTGTATATTTCACTTTTAAGAAACTGTTAAACTGTTGTCTGAAGTGGTTGTACCATGTTACATTCTTACCACCAGTGTACAGTCCCATGTCTTGACATTTCAGATGGTTAGCTGTGCCTTATTGCACTGGCTAGAGTCTTCAGTACAATGTTGAATACAAGTGATGAGAATGAATATTTTTTCCTGGCTCCCAGTGTTTGAGAGAAAGCATTCATGTTGTCATCATGAAGTGTGATGGTGGCTGTTTGTTATATATGCCGTCTAACCAGGACAAAGAGACTCCCTTCCATTACTGTTTTGCTGATTGCTTTGATCATAAATAGATACTGGATTTGGGAAAAGGCTTTTCTTACATTTATTGACATGACTAATTTTTTTTAATTCCTTAATATAATAAAGTATAATGATTTTTAACATTAATTCAACTCTGCCTTCTTGCAGTAAACCTCACACGGTTATGATACCGTATCCTTCCACATATTGTGGGATTTATTTGCAAAAATTTTGTAAATTTTTAAAATTGTAATTTTCTTTTAGTGTTTTCAAGTTAATATATGTTTTTTGTAGTTGTCATTCTGTGTACTTTTCCTGTAATGCTCTTTTGTTTCAGAATCAGGGCAACATCAGCCTCTTTGAGTGGGTTGGGATGTATTCCATGGTCTTCCGTTTTCTGGAAGACTTTATGTAGTGTTGCCATTAATTCCTCCTTAAATGCTTGCTGATATTCACCCATGAAGCTCTCTGGGCTTGCAGTTTTCCTTGTTGAGTCTTTTAACTGAGACTTCCATTTATTTAGTAGACACAAAGAGTTTTAGAATATCTTTCTTCTTGAGTGAGCTTGGTAATTTGTGCCTTTCAAGGCATCTTCCCATTTCACCTGGGTAGGTTTGCTGAATTTATTGAGATAAATGGTTTCTAATAGTCTGTTATTTTTTTTTTACTGTCTATTTCTGTATGATCCCTGGGGTTGAGTGGTTAAGTGCTCTGCTGAGCATTATGTGAATCTAAGTGGGAGTTGAGCTGGGTTTCAAGTTGTTGCCATTATGGGCACCAGGCCTCAGATTCCTCCAGTGACCATATTAGTCTCCCTGTTGGCTTTGGCCCCTCCCTTCAGGCTGCTCCTCAGTCTCTCCAGCTCCCCGTGCTGCGGTGTGCTGTTGTTGTCAATGGGGGCAAGACCCTCTGCAGTCTTCTGTTTAAACATAAGTCTTTGGATGGCACAGTGCACTGTGCCTCAGATGTGTGGCCCTCACATTGTTTTTGTCACCTCTCCATGGACAGAGCTTTCCCTGCCTGCTCCCTAAACCCTCCAGTGTTCCCAGACTATGGCCTGGAGTCCCTCACTCTGCAGATGAAGGCCTTTTTTCTTCTCCTTTAGTGATAGTATTGCTGGGACTGGGCAGAGCTCCCTTCTCCAGGCTGTGCTGGAGTTTCTCCAGTCCCCTCTGGAGGTGTCTTTCCCTGCAGATTCAGCATTTTGTTCTGTAAGGGATTTGACAGTGGCTCCTCTCTCTCTTCCCCAGCTGGCCAGCTTCCTGTACAGAACTTCCTTCAGTTTTCCCAAACTCCCTGTGAGAGCCTGGTGTTTTTCTGCAGCAAAAGGCTGATGAAGTTCTATATATCTCAATTGTAAAATATATATTCTATATATATTACAATTACAAATAAATTGTTCACTCATTCTTCCTTTTTTGGCAGGGGGAGGGGAAAGGGTCTGTTTGAAGATATCAGATATTGAGAAAAATTCATTAAAATCTCCAGGTAGCATAGTAAGGAGCTCTGGTGGCATAGTAGGTAAGGCATTTGGCTGCTAACTAGGTGGCTGATTCAAAACCCACCAGCTGCTCTGTGAGAGGAAGATAAGGCAATGTACTTCCATAAAGATTTATAGCCTTGGAAACACAGTGGGGGTCACTATGAGTTGGAATTGACTCAGTGTCAATGGGTTGCATTTCGTCAGTATGATAGTAGATCAGTTTTTCTCCTTTGAGTCTTGTCAGTGGTTGCTCTTCCCCCCACCCCACCCCCGGACAAAGCATGTGAGCTTTGACATGCGTATGAGACTATTGAAAATACCGTGGCATGGGTTAGGCGTACCTTAGTCTTCAAAGTGACATCTTTGCTCTTTAAAGAGGTCTTTTCCAGAAGATTTGCCCAGTGCAGTACATCTGATTTCTTGACTGCTGCTTCATGGGTGTTGATTTTGGATCCAAAGTAAAATCTTTGAGTCTTTATTATTTGGTGCAAAATAATTTACAATAATTTATGATAGTGATACATTGATTGACTTGCATTATTGAACATCCCTTCTTCTGGTCACACTTCTAGTCATGCTTCTTGGCTTCAAGTCTAGGTCATCTGATACTAGTTTAGTTAAACTGTTTTTCATTAATTAAGGTTTATATGATATGATTTATCTATCTTTTAATTTCAGTATATTTGTGTCCTGAAGTGTCTCTTGTAAAATTCAGAGGTTGTTTCGTATTATTTTAAATCCATTCTGACAATACTAGTCTTTTAACTGGAGCATTTAATCCATTTAGTAGCTATAGTAGTTAAGTTTGTGTGTCAACTTGACTGGGCCTGGTTGAGTGGCTGGGCAGCTGGACATAGTTTTCCCCATGATGAGACTGGTAATCAACTCCATGGTAGAATCTCCTGTGAGCAGCTGAGTAGCTAGGGGATATGGTCTGCTTCCTGTATATAAGGAGAAGTCTTGGGGAATGGTCTCTAGCTTATGGCATGCTTGAACCCTGCATGTATCCATGTCATCATTTAGCAATCTGCTATGCTCTGCCAACCTTGGGACTTTCAATGGACTTAAATTAATGGCCTGCTGTGTGGCTTGGTAACATTGGGACTGTGCCTTTTTACTTGTCAGCCTTGGGCTTGTCAATCTCAGCAGCCAGTAGCTGTCTGAGTGAAGAAAATCCTCTAGCTCCAGTGGGCCAGGAGCAGGGAGCAGAGCTGAACCTCAAGGTTGAGGGGCTTTCACCCAGACCCTAGTGACTGGCATTTTGAACTTGGACTTAAAGCCTCTAAATTATAAGAATAAACTCCTGTTTGTTCAAGCCATCCCATTTGTGGTATATTCTTGTCAGAGTGTCACTAGGTAATCAAAACAGTAGCCTTATTGGTGGTTGTTATTCTTAGGTGCCATCGAGTCAGATCGGTCTCATAGTGACCCTGTGTACAACAGAACAGAACACTGCCTGGTCCTGCACTATCCTCATAATCTTCGCTATACTTGAGCCCATTGCTGCCAGTCCATCTCATTGAGGGCCTTCACCTTTTCACTGATCCTCTACTTTACCAAACATGATATCCTCCTCCAGGGACTGGTTCCTTCTGACAACCTGACCAAGGTCAGTGAGAGGAAGTCTGGTCATTCTCACTTTTAAGGAGAATCCTGGCTGTACTTCCTTCAAGAGAAATTTGTTCATTCTTCTGACAGTCCATGCTGTTTTCAGTATTCTTCGCCAGTACCACCATTCAAAGGCATCAGTTCTTCTTTGGTCTTCCTTATTCATTGTCCAGCTTTGACATGCAAATAGAGACTCTTGAAAATACCATGGCATGGGTTAGATGCACCTTAGTCTTCAAAATGACATCTCTGCTCTTCTAAAGAGATCTTTTCCAGCAGATTTGCCCAGTGTAGTACAACATCTGATTTCTTGACTGCCTCTTCATGGATGTTGATTGTGGATCCAAAGTAAAATCTTTGACAACTTCAATCTTTACTCCATTTATTGTGATGGTACTTATTGGTCCACTTGTGAGGATTTTTGCTTTCTTTGTTGTTAGATGCTGTTGAGTCGTCTCTGTCTCACAACGACCCTGTGTGCAGCGGAACGAAACCCTGCCTGGTCCTGTGCCAGCTCCACGATCCCTGCTATACTATACTTAGCCATCGTTGTAGCTGTTGTATATCAGTCCATCTCATTGAGGGCCTTTCCCTCTTTCGTTGACCTTCCATTTTACCAAGCATGATACCCTTCTCCAGGGAATGGTCCCTTCTGACAACATGACCAAAGTAGGTGAGGTGAAGTCTGGCCTTTCTCATTTCCAAGGAGCATTCTGGCTGCACTTCTTACAGGACAGACTTGTTATTTCTTTTAGCAGTCCGCAGTACTTGCATCATTCTTCACCAGCACCACAACTCAAAAGCAACGACTTTTCTTCGGTCTTCCTTATTCATTGTTCAACTGTCACATGCATATGAGACAATTGAAAATATCATGGCTTGTGTTAGATGTACCCTACTTCTCAAGGAGACATCTTTGCACTTCAGCACTTGAAAGAGGTCTTTTGGAGCTGATTTGCCCAGTGCAAATAAATCATCTGATGTCTTGACTGTTGCTTCAATTGGTGTTGATTGTAGAACCAAGTAATACAAAGTCTTTGACAACTTCAGTCATT